TGAATTTTTTTTACCCCAGGTTTCTAATTGACGATATTTATTTCTCAACTAAAATACAAAAACGGGAAGATGTTATTACCATTTACATAACATATAGAACTGCTGAGTGGGCGAAGAACAAACGCTGCACAATAGTATATTGCATATCCCAGCAGCTAAAAGACTTAAAGATTAAAAATACGGAAAACAAAAGCACGACTAATGAAGATGATGCTCTTAAAGATCGTGACCACTTCAGTGGAAAGTAGTATCTAACGTTCCAGTTGTAATAAATCCGAATGAGTATACCCAGTTGTTAATGAACTTTGGTCGTCTAAGCCATCTAAACTACTTTTTGCTAGATGTCGTGGAAAACTAATTTGATTTAAATCTTTAAACATTAGTTATGTATTTATTAGTAAATTTCCACACCACTTAGAAAGTACTACTTCATTGCGTTGAGAGTTTTTTTTTATCTTTGGAGAAGGAGACATGAATCAGAGAAAGATTACTCAAATGTTCTTAAGTTAGATCATGTAAAATAAATCATGTAATTTGAGAGAAATATAGTGAGTTCGTAGGGGGGAGATGCAGCGGCAGACAAAGGAGGAGCTGTAATCAGCAACTTGAAAGCCAGAAAAACAACGTTTTACTTGGCTACCAAATTTTATATAGAGTATTTTACTGAAGTAATGTAAAAAAGAGTAGGGGCTTAAAATAATGCCAATCTGATTTTGGATTCGTGTTCAGTTCCCAGAAAAATCACAAAAATGGTATTAGACTTGGATAGTAATTTTTTTTGTTCCACCACATTGTTACTATGAAGTTCTAGAAAAAATTTTTAACTTTAAAGCCTTTGTATATGCAGTGAAACACATTCTTCCTATCTACTGGTGGCCTAGCTGATTCCTACTGACAATAATATTTTCGAATTTTTTTGGTCGTTTTATATTTAAAATCAATGTAACGCACGATTTTCCAAAGTAATTATCTAGACACATTATATTTTTATTGTGTAGACATATATCTTTTGATCTAAAAGTTTAACTGCTTTCTTTCAATTAAACAATGTCATAATCACAATTGTGTTCAATTGAATTCTCAATTAACCAAAAATTTCATGTTTGGTGACAAGAGATAGATAAGGAGGAGATTACACAAATGGGGGAAAGTAGTGGACGAGCAAAGGGGAAGCGGGGGGGATGAGCTTGCCCGAATATATATGTATCAAAAACCACGTGATAATAAGTTAATAACTGAGTAAATTAAGGGGGAAATAGGAGGCTGAGATCTACTTCTGTCCATATAACTATATAACATAGAGATATGTGTATATATATGACTTAAATTTTTTTCTCACATAGACAACTATTACTGTTTATAAATAAAATTTGAATTTTTATTTAGCATATTCTACTTCAAACACTCTAAAAGATCATAAGGATTGTTACGTACGATAGCATGTTATCGTACGTAACAGGATCTAAACCGAGAAATGTATGTCAAATTTTTGATACATTGGGTACCTGTATGAACTTTAGTATGGATTAAATATTAAAAAAGTAATGTTTTCTTTAAGATTTGATAACATTGAAATTTATAGTGGATTGAAGGCACGACAAAGAGATTACGGTAAAATATATAAGTAAGCTTTGTGACAACAAATAGAAAGTTGTTTTTGTTTAGTTGCGTTTAACCAATTATAATAATCAAAGTAACCTAGTACACCGTTATAAGATGATTTTTACCTCGAATTTGACACAGAAAAATATTTAACTCTTGTCATATGACTTTCGTTCATTTTACGCTGTATTCACGCAAAAGCTTCTGGCTTTATAGAAATTATATGAAAGTCGCGTATGGTCTGCATCTGTACTTTTAAAAATTTTTTCTGTATAAAAAATAAATTGAGAACTTACATTTCTTTTGTGTTAAGCCTGTGTAAGGCTAATTGGATTAGACAATTGCATAAGAATTGTGTAAAATTGACGCTAGGTTAGGTGCAACAAAAAATCAATCTAGTACATGCTTACTTAAAACATATTTACGCTCTATCGTTGTGTTATAAGCTTGTGTAAGAATTTTGTATAACCCGCGTAAGGCCTTATGCAAAAAAAATGTTTTCGGTATTTATTGGCTCACTAGCAGCCCCTCCATCCTAGCTTTGCCCGAGACTCCCTTAATGGAACACCGTAGTGTGCTGACATGTAATGTGAAACGTTTCAAGTTAAAAATTTTACATCAATTCCTGACAGAACAAACGTCTTCAAATTATAAACATATTTGTTTGGAAGTTATACAGCTTATTTGGTCAAATAATAATCTCTAAAAAGTGAAAAATCATTATGCTGAAGAGTACCATACCTTCTCCATGTCATAAAATAATCGTTATCCCTAACGGGACGTTGATTTACAGTTTCTCTCGTATCATCTACAAAAAGGGCTATTTTTGAAGCTGCAAAGATTTAAAAGTCACGAAAAATATATAATCAAACAAAATTTTTTCTCTTGTGTCATAACTTTATTATCAGAGCATCAAAGTCCTGGAGCATAATCTTTACATTTTATATCATTACAAAAATATAATATGTATTCTACCTATTTCTAAGTATACATAAATTGTACACATTGGATGCATTTGAAGTGTTACTTCCAATTTGCCCTCTTGTGAGTTTTGGGATGATAAATACTTTTGTAATCCCTAAAGGCTGTTTTTCAACTTTCTTAAGTTAGAATATATTTGTTGGCAACGTAGTTTAACGTCTGATGGCCCTGAAAAAGATTGGTGAGCTAAAATCTTTCTTGACTGAAGCTTTCAACAAATATGACCTAGCAATAATGGGCGACAATAGTATCTAAGTTTCGCTACTCACTGTGATGAAGGATTGATACCAAGAGCTCTCGGTGGACTTAAAATGTAAGGGGCAAAGTATTTCTATAAGGATAGTCAAAAAATCTTGACACAATAACACATTTACCCAGTGGGAACTTAATAAATAAAATCGACCTTAGAGTGTACAGTCTTTTGTGCAAAACACAAATAAATCTAAAAAAGACTTACCTATCATGCCAATAGGATGTCAGCCTAGTAAAATACGACTGGCGCTATAAGCTATGGCTTGAGACTGGCTTTACAGCAAACCTTGATGCCTTTACCGGATTTACCATCAACAAAAAAAACTAAGGATCAAGGATAAGAGAGGGGACATTAACTATAATTAATCATAATAAGTCCTACTATCCTTCTCTTTTGCACATTCCCAAATAAATGTAATAATTTTGTAGAATAATTACCACTTTCTTTAGTGTATTACAATATGCTATTATTTTCGTAAGTAACAATTTAATGAAAAAAAGAATAATTATCGTAATAGATTTATTTTTATAACGCTTATATGTATATTGAAGATTATTTCTAACAAATTTTTACTCATAAGGTCAGAATAATTTGAAGGAGAGGGTGAAAAGTGAAAATTTTATTTTTTCTTAATTTCAAAGAAGTCAATTTACCATGGTTCACTTCTTACCTTAGTTCAGACTGCTTTAATATACATAGTCACCGAGGACGGTGATAGTTTTCAGACAGGAAGGCTGTGAAGTGACGACTTGCATACATAAAAAAATTAATTTATTGTTACACTCTATTTTATGTCATGTATTCTACTTTCACAACGATAAAATTTTAAGATTCTTAAAAGAGTCATCCTTAACGAAAGTCATCACCTATCAAAGCTAACTGTGTACTTCGAGGCTCTTGGAAGTGTCAAGCGACAACTGAAGCGAGCCGCTAAGATCAAGAATATGAAGTCAGTAAGTACCGGCCCCATAGCATGTAAGACAAAAAAAGTTTGAAGTAAAGCTTCGCGCAAGGTGCATTTTTTTCACGGCGTTTTAGTTAGTAGTCCGCTACCGCTAATCGAGTGCAGAAGTTAATTACTAATTTTACAGTAACTTGCTGAAGAGTGACTCGATGTTTTCTTATCTGTATTTTTTTTTGTATAAGTGATATAAAACAAATTAATATAAAACCAACAGAAGAAGAAGTTTACGAGTCTACGTATTCAAGTAATATTTTTTGGAAGCAATTTAAAAAAGAATAATATTAATGACCTTAGTATTTCTTAATTGTAAATGAATTTAGTATACTTCATTAACATTATGTCTTAGGTTTATAAAGTCTCTTAGTTTTTAAGCACCTAAGCCATCTTTAAGAGAGCGAAATAAACAACAACAACAATACCATAGATTTGTGTAATAGGATAATAGGCTTTATTTTTTTGACTCTCACTTGAGCAACAGTAAACATGATCTAAACAAACTTAATAAATGTTGCAGTACATATATATGCACACCTTTTGATGAAGAGCGAACTGTAATGAAAGCATAAGTTTTTTGTTGAAAGTATAGTGAGAAAGAGTTAAAACACTTTAATAAGTGATACATTTTTGTTGGTTCATAGTTACAACTATACTTTACTTTTGTCTTGTATTTCTTATTTTAGTAATGAATTTTAAGTATACTATTTTTACTTAAAATTTATGTTTAGCCTAATGCTTAGCTTTTTATTTTCCGCTCTTAAAACTATTTAGTTTATAATTTATTATCTCTTGGTTGATGTGTTCTGTTTAGTTACTTTTTACCATTTTACATAAATGATTTCAATCAATCTGAGTTTATTTATCATGCCTAAGACACTTTTTTGACAAGAAGGTAAAAAGAGTATCTTAGAACAACAACCTTAAAATGACACCCCTATCAAAAATAGAATCTTTTTATTTTTTACTTCATTTCCTCTATTGAAGTGGTACGTAAATGAAGGTTTTAATCAATAAAACAATTGCATTTTAATATCAAAACCTCTTAAATCTTGTTAGTCTAATTTTTATCTTACATTACCTGTACTACAATATCTGTATCATAGTTATTATTCATGCAAGCGTAAATTTTTTAATTGTTTTTAGTGAAGTTAAATAAAAATACAATTTAAAATTTGGATGTCCTGTAAATGATAAAAATAATTATTTTTGTTTTGTATACATATATGACAACTTTTCTTTATATTTAATAGAAAATGACTATGTGTGAATACAAAGTTAAACAAATACAGTACATATTCGTAAAGGACTAATTTAGCAGATAATTATTTTCTACTTAAACTTATTTTTCTTCGCACCATTCATTTTCTTTACGAACTTGTTCTTCTTCAGAGGCAGTAAAATCATTTTTTATGTTGAACGTTTTGCGTATTTCTTCAGGTGTTTTACCTTTTATCATATTAGCGACGGTTTTACATGTTACATCTAGAAGTCCTTTTATGTCTAAATAATTGGCAGCTAATATAAGTTCAAATAATGTTCCTTGATCTACCTGTAAAGTTATATCGATAATAAAATATGAGTTTGTTCAAGTACATTTAGTATAATCATGGATTGTAACAGAAAATTATTTTTAAAATGAATATTTTTCACTTAATGTTACTCCTCACTTTTAAATTTTGAATACAAGAAAGACACATCTTCGTGTTGTAGAGCATCTTTATTAATAGTCCATGGCCCGAAAAATTTTTCAATCAAGTGTTTTCCAGTAGAGAAAAAACTGATCATTTCGCTTCAGAATTTTTCCAGGAATACGGAAAAAATAGTTTTGTCCAAATCAACCCTCGGCTTCATTTGTTAATTTAACAATTTATTAAAAAATGACAATTTTTTATTTAGTTTTTTGCTTGTATCTCCGCTACTATTACTTTTAGAAAAAATTTTTGACCATCAATCTCTTTGTCATTAAATTTCCTATGAAATGGATATTTTTTCAAATGCATTATTTATTGTTGATAACACGTTGAAGGCGGGAAAGTATGAAAAAAAATTTTTTATACCGAAAAACTTTCGATCGACGTAGGAAAAACACTATCTTGTCAATTTGAATGTAACCATAAGAAAATATAGATATTGAACTGTACAACAAAAAGCTACTTGTGAAATTGTAAAATAATTATTAGTTTTTTGTTAACTAATTTTCTAAAGTGAAAGTGAAGTGTTATCACAAACTTAACTGATGGTTAATTGATATTTTAATTTTGTAAAAACATTATATTTAATATAACTAATAATA